TCTGTTTGTTTGTGTCGACTGATGATATGCGCAACTGTTGGTATTTGCAGAGAAGCGTCGCTTTGAACAAACTCAATTCTTGCTTCAGATTTAGATAGTTGGGTGCCATCTGTGGACGGTGTATTATCGGATTCGAGGTTGGTCGCTGGTGGATCGGATCGTCTTAATTTTTTTAGCTCGCAGAACAGAAATATCCAGGGTGAAATAACAAGCAAGCCGATTACGCCAAAACAAACAATGATTAAAATTTTAAACACATGATCAATGTTATTATCACTGTAGTTACTGCTATCATTCCAGTCGTCCTGTTCGGTTAGGACAAATTTCAGTTGGAGTACGATATAGGCACCTGATAACAAAATTGAGCGCGTCCCGGTTATGGTTGTCATTAGAACATGCAAGTTTAATTATGAACTTGCACCTGGCGCTCTAGATTGACTGACCTTTGCCTTACATCTTCCCATGCGGTAGTTTTATTAGCTTAGAATTTAACGCAGTAAGTCCGCAGCGTTTAACAGCACATGTTGCATACCACCCGCAGTTTTAATCTGCAATTGAGTTGCTTAATTAAACAGGGAATGGACATTTTTTTTTTTAAAGAACAAAGTATTATGATGTTGTTAATCAAAGTGCCATTTGCTGAATTCCTAATTTGGGAATGGGAAAAAAATTTTTTTTTGCCCCTTGTTTGTGGAAATGTAATCTTTATTATTATAGAATTTAAGTAACACTAACAGAACAATATCATATTATGAAAACGTTGTTCCTTAATATTAATGAAATAATTAACTGGATGACAAATAAAGTTAAATCGACAATTTTTTAATTGCTATATAGAAACTTTTAGTTAAGCTTAAACAAAATATCAGAATTTTAGTAGACGGCAATAAACACTATTGCTACATAATATTTTATGCTTATGCAAAACGCACATATATGCATTATTCTATTTGTTAGCCTGATACCGACTACACTTGTTGATGCCCCTGACAGATACATATCAGATAAATAAGTTAGAAAGGAAGAAGTGCTGTTCACAAGCTCTTGCCAAACGAATAATGAGCGGAAAATTTTTTTATTGTTTGACAAATTATATGAGGTTACTGTAAACAATAGAAACAACAACAAAAGTATTAATATATGGCACTAGTTTGTCCATTACCACATTGGTAATATAAAATTTGACTTACCAAATTAGTCATGATGATGCACTTAGTGAAGGACGCCATATATGGTAAATCAGTATTTGTATAACTATTTATGGACTTTGCAGTCAAAGATGCGAATATTTTAGTCCAATGTCTTTGGTCTTGGCATACGCTCAGCTTTTTTTTTTGCATCATCTTTTTGCGTATTTTTAGTTACGCATTATGATTTCTGTAGATTGCAACAGTTTGTGTAATCATTATAATTGCATCGAGTTAGTGACATCAAAAAACACCAAATGAATATCTTAGCTATTACCAACGAAATATGGATTAAGTATAAGAACTTTGCAGTTTTATTAATATTACCGTCATTTATAAAAATGGCATCTGTTCACTACTTTTCGTCGTATTACTAGTTGCGTTCGTTGTTATCGTTGCTGTTTGTCCTAATTAATGCATATTTAGCAATAGCTATCAGCGCCGACATTCAAAATCATTATGCTAATGATAATGAAGGCTACCATAACAAATATAGCATAATTACAAAGAATATCTGCTTATAGTAATTCCCTTCTACCCCTTATAATAATTGTTGATTAGTCGCAACAACACCCGTCCACTTTATTCTTGTAATGCAACTACACACGCTTATCATAGAAATTCACATGCTGTCCTACCCAAAGTAATAACAGGCAATAATATAACAAGTTACCCAATGATATGCTCCTTACATATAATCACATCCGCATTAAATTATGTTCCCCACAGACAATGTTTTATTAAATGTCGGTTGAAATGTTGATGTAAATTCCGTTATAAATTCAGATGTTTTCGTAATCCTTCAATGTCACAATATCATTCACTGATAAGAAAATCATACATTTCACCAAGTTTTAATTCTTGACCCTATATTTCAATACATTTTCTGTGAAGAAGAATACTCATGCCTTCTTATTAATACTATCGAGCTTTAGCGGACAAACAGTATTTCGTCCCTATTCATTACCATCTTCTAATCTTAATACGAGTACCTCAACCAGGCGTTCTCTCCAACTCGAGGGCATCGTAACGTGTTGATTTTCACTAAGCACAAATATTATAATGACCAATGATGCATTTTAATTCTCAAAAATCTATGTATGATACAATAAATTCTCTCACACAGAATCGATAATAGATATTCCTTCCAACGGATAACAAATCCTACCATACTACACAATCGCTGTAATACAACGCACGCAATCCCACTCTCATGATTACAACATTGCCTTTATATCAATTAATAGCTTTCGGAATAATGTCCTGAAGGCGAATTTCAAACGCGACTATACCGCACAATCGACATCATATCCATTAATGTCACTCACCGCCAGCACAAAGACATACCACGGTCATAGACTGCTCTCGCGCACTGACACTTCCCAGTAGGTGTGCAGAACAACAAATTGCCTTCCTGACGAGAATTGACCTAACGTATTTAACTCTTTACTCGCAAGTCAGACCTTTTGAAGAACGGAAACTTTTATCCAGGCACTTGTATTATCACAATTTAGGTTGATTGGTTGACCGTACAATTGTGTGACATTAGTAATGGGTGTCACAGACCGGTCGGAATGTAAACAGACCATTGAACTAGTTAGGACAAAGACCCTACAAAATCGAACTAGTTAGGACTTCTTGTAGCGATTTTTCCAAAGATGGCAGAGACTATAGTAAGTTTACAAACATGTCGCAGCATTATTAAAACAGCACGAAGCAATTATAATGCGAGAAGCAGAATTCAAGCTTAGTAGTCTATCGCATAGCCTCCGACATTCACAATTGAATTTTACCATGTTGATTGTAGCTAACATACATTTTGTTTATACCAGAACAACAGTGAATCGTCATCCTCCACAACGAAAAACAAAGGCAAAGGCAAACAAATTGAAGACCTTGAGATTGATTATGGAACCCAATCGGACGAAAATCTGAGCGCAACCCAATTGAGGGAACAAGTGACCGAATGCTTAGAATCAATTACCAACAACAATAACAGAAGGCACCACTTTATCAGACTGCATACATTGCTATTGACAACGAAGGATAGATTGGATAACGATCAATTGGAAAATGTATTGACAGTAGTAGGAACGGCAAACATCTTATATAAGACGCATACAGTAACGACTAGTATGGAGTTGGAACTACATCTCAGGACCTATGTATTGGCATTGGAAGCATGGGGCAGGAGACCACTCATAATGACAAAGGAGTTCCGCGAGTCTTTGTATAGACATCTTGCTGTTTTGAACGATTTTCACCAACGGCATGCTGAAGCGCTGAAGAATGGCCTGAACAAAAACATCAAATCAGAGTACAATCCATACATTGAACAAAGAACTGCATACGACTTGTATTCTAATTTAGAGAACGGTGTCAAGTGCCAGAATTACAATATCGATTTTCTACTGATACATCTTCGGGACACACTTCATGCAATGCATGATGATGAGACGGTTTTATTCAAGATTATAAAAGCACTGCAAGCTACATTTACTAGTCTGGTTGGCATTTTACCTGGTATGGCTAATATTATGGCAAATATTCAAACGCCATTTGATAACAATACTTCGCTTGAGACATATAATAATATTCAACAAGCACTAAGTCCCAAGTTTCCTATCAGCTATTGGTACAAGGATTGGAGATATCTGTACAGCACATATCAAGCATTTGTTGAATGGTCAGCTATACCAATAAATGAGAATTTGGTTTTTAAAGGGGAATTGATGATTATCAAAGATTTGTGGAGATTTGGAGATCAAGAATGGGCCAAAGCTGCTACAAAATCAGAATCAAAGGTGGATACCTTTAGGTCCAACTTAAAGCACACTTTGGTCCATATTGGTGGTTATGCTCCTGTATCATATCCATACTCTTTATTGTATGGAATATTGGAAATTACTCAGAAGCTCATATTATCTACAAAGAATACCAGTACTTTGGCTCACTGCTATTATATTGCAAAATTGACACTTGACATTGTACCAACAGAAAACATTCAATTCAAAGCAATGGAAGTCTTGATGACACTTTATAACAAAGAACCAGATACCATTAATAATACCTTTTCAGTTGTCAAAGTAGATTTATCCCAACATATTGACCATCTTGCAGAATTGGATGGAACCAATGCTAATAGTGACAGTAATAGGAAAAGACTGCAGGATGCAATAGAATACATTAATATGAATTATAAATTTACTAGGCCTGTATTGACATCAGAAACATCAATGTCAAAGCAGAAAGCAGTTCTAGAACAGAACCCTGAAGAATTGCTTGATTCCAATCCAAATGATTTGTTAATTTTGGATATGGTGGCAGATCATCTCACATGCCCCTTTACACAGAGGGTTACAGATGATTTTAGAATATTACCATGTGCACACAAAATCAGTTATTCAGCATTAGAGAAATTTATGAAATTAAATTATCATTCATTAAAATGTTTCTATTGTAATCAGAAAGTCAAAATCCAAGATACTGAATTACTAGAAAGTTCACCTATCTATAAAGCACTGTATGAAAAGTTTGTTGAAACTGGACATATTACACCAAAAGACAAGACAAACAACTTTACAGCAGCTGTAGAAAATCAGGAGGATAGTGAGTCTGAAGAGTATTCTATAATGAAAACAAAGTTTTTGTATTTATTGAAAATGAAACCTAAGAAAACTCTTTTCCAAAGAATCAGAAGACCAAAAGGACAACATCCTGCATACAGACAAGGCAAGAAAGCTCTGAATGATGGGAGATACAGGGATGCAATAACCTGGCTGGAAAGAGCACTTGAACATTATCCTAATAGTTCTACCATTCAGTGTGATCTTGCTTATGCATATTATCAATGTTCAAACTACCAAAAATGTTATGATTATACAAATGAGACTATCAAAAATAATCCTAAAAATGCCAGAGCTTGGGCAATACTTGGAGCAAATTATGGGGATCAATCTGAATATAGGCAGTCTCTGAAAAGTTTTAAACAGTCATTGGAGATTGATCCAAATAATGCACTTGCATTGAGAGGAAGGGGGGAAGTCTATAGAATTCTTAAACAATATGATGATGCTTTAGTTGATCTCAATAAATCATTAGAGATTGACTCAAATGATGCAGTTGCATTGAGAAGAAGGGGTGAAGTCTATAGAATTCTTAAACAATATGACAATGCATTGATTGATCTCAATAAATCATTA